GGGGGCTGGCGGGCGGGCTGGGTCATGTCATCGTCGCCTGCATCTCCTTCTCCGTGCGTCCCCAACACACAACAGCATGGCCTTTGATCGATCTGCACTCTTCAGCCCTCGACCTACCTCACCACCAGCCCTTGCAACTGTTGGGAAGGCCTGTCCGCACGTATTACAAGCGGATGATCGCCAATGCTTTTCCCCATTATGCTTTGCTCTCCCTTCGGCCCTTTGTGCCCGTGATTACGTGTTCCGCCCTACCTACTAGTTTATTTTCAATCCCCCGATCCTTACAACTCCCTCTCCCCCGCCCCGCTTGCTCTTGCCTAATCTCGCTTGATATCCGCATTCCACTCTATCGATACTTCCTTCCTGGTCCTTAACAACCTACGCACTGTCTACTTGGAAATTCTCTTCGCCAAAACACTCGATATCCACTCACACTGCCTACGCTGCTAAACACCTCATGTTTTTTTCCTTTTGCCTCTCTTGAAAAATAAGCAATCATCAGCTTCACCGTTGGCAGGATCATTATCCTCGTGCGCGACATTCACCATCCTGGTATTAATTCTTGTCCAACATGTCTTGCTTCTTTGCCTTGTTTTATCCTTTGCTGGCCCCATACAGTAAACAAGCCGAAAATCTTCGGACTGGAAAGAGCTACCCAGCCAAAACATGCTGCTTCTGAATTATTGGCCAACTTCAACCATCCTTCACAGTTTTCCGTTCTTCTTTTCATCTCCAATCTTGCCGTTAGTAACATACAGCCTTGCTATGTGCGCTCTCAAGCCAACCTTCTCATGTTAATGTTCATATCCACAACCATATCAACCTGCCCCACCTGTCTATATCATCCAACCTCCTAAGCTTCCACATGAACAAAAATCAAGACTTGCCCCATGCTTCCAACACTGGGCCCAACACGAGGCGCAACAGTATACACATGGGTACCATCATACTCGCAAATCTTGCCAGGCACAGAAGAAACAAAAAGCAAGTTTACTTTACTTACCAGACATTGCCATGTCAAGACAAACAAGAAGCTCACTTGAGCTATTCACCAACATCACATGTCAATAGAGAAATTCTAAATTGTGCAATCACCATATAACCTCACCCCATGTCACGTGTCGTAGATGAAACAAAATCACGCCATGATATCCCTCAATATGTCCTACCAAGCGGTGAGCTTGACATGTTTCCTGGAGACAACAACAGAGGCATTAATACTTAATACTAGATCGGGGTGTGTGTGTAAAAAGGGGAAATTCTAGACGTCTATATAGTAATGGCTGGATGTAGGATTGTAGCTCGGTAATCAGTCTTACAGTCAGTTTTATCAGGGAAGAAAATGCCAAGAAAGCTTCTTCAGCACCAAAATTCCATCAAAATCTCCTTGCGTCTTCAAAATTAAGAGGAGTTTAGGGGTTGATACTGCTTTGGGTTTAGACATCACGTGTTTCTTCTGGTTTTACACGGGGGGAGAGAGAGAGAAATTTAAAGACAACACTATTTTTGTTTACTACCATGTCAAAATGTAGAACTGTTGGCTTTTTTTGGTTGAAAAAAAAGTTTTGAAGACAGTATCTTGAAATGGATTGGTTGTCGTAATAAACATTACTATTCTTTGAAATACTACTGGTTCAAATCACCTCTACCTACACAATACCCACTTTTACAACCACGGATACAATTTGCCGCATTTCAATTGGTACTTTGAAGCGTGTACAACCACGGATACAATTTATCGCATTTCAATTATTCCTTTGAAATTCTCTTCCCCTTCTGCAGCACATAAAACTAACTGACTTTCTTCCCACCTTTTTTTTCAGTCCAACCAACACAACTTCAACACACTCTCCATTTCCCCTTCAAGACACTACTACTACTACTACTACTACTACTACTACTACTACTACTACTAACAACTACAAAACAGAACAATGGCCTCGAAAAAGGGCCTTCCAGTCGAAATCTTCCTACAAATATATGGTTACTTGGGGCCAAAAGACTTCAACGCTGCTCGGCGTACATGCCAAGCGTGGATGAAGGCCAGTCTGGATAGGAAACTGCTCACGGTAATGCTAGAAAGAGGTGGCTGGACAAATGTGGATACCAGCAGAGAATGGCAGTGGCTCAGCTGCCAACTTGCCAGAGAGTGTGCCTTGGCCCCAGGCCGGGCCGGGTTGGAAACAGAGCCAATATTCACAAAGAGCTCCGAGGTGGATTTCACCAGGCTGCAGAGCAACAGCCAACCCGGTGGTCAATTATTCTTCACCACCAGCATCTGCTCGCGCTTCCTGTGCGTAGCCCAGGGAGCGCTGATCCACATTCACCAATTCGACGCTGGCCGTCCGGTATACATGGCAAGCGTCCAGTGCAAAGGACGAGTATTTGCCCTCACCATGGGCCTATATGGCGGTAGATACGCCATCGCTGCCATCCTGGAACACAGAATGGGCATGGTGCAAAAACTTCCAGAAGAGTTATTTGGCCATGGCCCACAGGAGCAGCAGCAGTATCGTACGCGGTTCAACACAATTCATATCCAGTCCAACAGCGAGAGGATAATCATCATGGGCACCAACAACAGCACCCTGTATGAGCACAACTTGATCAACCCGACATGGAATTTGATCGAAAACAACTCGACAATTTACAGAGACCTGGGCTCCAACAATGACCCACCGCTCAGCGTTTCTCTCTGCCCCAAAAACCAGTGTGTAATTTTTGGCTGTGCAGCAAGCCTGGACATACAATGGATCGATGGAGCCTCAGGCCAGAGCCTACATCGCTGGGTTCCCATGACCGCCCCAAGCGACCACATCTACGTCCTCGCATCACGGCCAGGACACGAATCATCATCATCAGACACACTCCGTATTCTCTCCAGTGTCGTCCACCCGGACAACCGCCCTTGGATCAAACGCAGACTCCTTCTCAACAGGCTCTACTGCGCCTACAGACTCAAATCTGCCCACAAGGCCTGCGAATGCTACCACTGCATCCCGCTAAGCGACGGCTACCACATACTCTTTGTCGACTCCGCCAGCAACCGCCTCGGCCTAGGCACTACGGAGCTCGTCGGCCGCACCACAAAGTTGGTTCGTAAAATCGATTTCATCCCTGCGACAAACGGGGCACGACCGAGGCTCTACTGCGCTGCAGCAGACATGTCGCAGGGCGCACGTGTAGCGGCCGTCTACGGCGACACCGTCATGTTATACTCTGTCCCACCGGACGTATGCCGCTTTGCTCCCGACCAGGACCAAATAGATTGCCCGCTGCAACAGGGCAACAACCACTGGCTCGACTGGTGGCATGAGCCGCGTGCCAACGACGAGACTGCCGCGCTGCCTCATCAGAGTCGCGCCATGTGGCCACTTTCCTTACACGGGACGCGCATAACTGCAATGGCGAATGTTTGCGAGATTTCTGTGCAGACACACCCGTGCCTTTCTATCACGGTGTTTACGGACGCGGCCAAGTGCGAGGTTTGGAAATTTCCCAAGGGTGAAAGAGACATTTGGGGTGGACAAGGTAGTGGTGTGTGTGAGCAAGGGCTTGCTGAATCAGGTTTTTGTACTACTAGGCTAAGGATTTTGTAAACTCATAACCAATTTTCCGTTGCGTACGAAAGGGTATCAATAAAAGCACAAATGAGCGAAGGAACAAAAGCATCAAATAAGCAAGCGAGCAAAGCGTGTTACAGGACATTGAGATCGTGAGGTGATACATAAAGGGGGGGGGGGGGGGGCATCGTAAGCGGTAAGACCAAGGCAGGTGCAGTCATGTTAGTTCCAGTTGCCGTCGGCACCATTTGTCGCCGAACTATCTGATCCACCTGGAGATGTAGCGGGTTTGTTGCTGATCCAAACATTGTCAAGTCTGAAAACGGTCAGCATTGGTAGTCAGTAGTGAAGAAGAAATACATACGGCATAACCAGACTGGGATTCTCAAAGCGTAGACCGCTCTCGCGGGCTTCGTCCAAGGTGAGTCTGCCCATGACCCTTCGGCCATTTCGCCCATGGCTAAAGGATTCTTCTTGTACGTCGCGACCCAGGTCAGATTGCTCTGGCCTTCGCAGGCTTTTGAGAGCAATAAACTTCATCAGTGGCCGATAGGTGCGTGCAAAAACAAACAAAAACCATAGAGTACCAATCACCAGCGGGGCTATGAGCACTGCGCGCCTGAAAGCCTTTTTCAAAGCCAATTGACCTGCAACCGTGATCTGAAAGAGGACAACGCCTACAATGACGCGGTCACACATCATAGTCCAACCCTTTCCAGTCGAGTGCTGGCGGTGCTCCATGGCATACAAGAGTTGATATTTGTGAACATAGTGGCCAATCATGAAGTAGACCAGGCCAGTAAGCAAAACCTGCCAAGAGTCTTTCAATACACTGTAGACCATGCAGATGATGAAGATGAGAATCGTCTGTGGCAGATAAAAACCGTAGCTGAAGACTGGGGGCTGCACAAGCTCAGCATAGTCCCGAGGTGTTTTAGCACCCATCAAGTAGACCGGGTACAGGGAAAGAGCGCCAAATTCCAGTAGTCGGAACGGAAAGACTCCAAACCCTTGCAATATGATGAAGTTGGTGTAGAAGCCTAGCAGGTTGGAGAGCGAGGTAGCCAGAGCGTATGCAATCTCTGTGGCACTCGTGAGTTTTTCGGCAAAACCCTCAAGTATGGCCAGAAACCCGGACGCTGTTCCTAGGATAGTGAAGAGTATGAAGAAGTTGAAGAAAGTATAGAAGAAGTTTTTCGAAATAACCGACAACTCAACATCGCCCTGGGAGATCATGCCCTGCTTGTTTGCAAGCCCTGCAAATCGTTAGCGTCAGTGATAATTACTGGTGAAAGCCAGTCTGCTTACAGTCGTATAAAAAAGGCACAGCTACGTTGATCAGAGTCAATGCCAGTGTCGGAAGCTGCGTGTTGACAAGCGATTCTAGAGTTTCATGCTTCTCCAATAGTTCTGCAAGTCCAGGGAGAACCCCGGCAATAGAACATGTGTTTAGAGCACCTGCAATGGGTACGAAAAGAACAGTCCAGAAAACGCTCAAAATGCCAATGACGACTGTTATGGACCAAGACCTGAACGTCCTTTGGGAACGAGTCAGATACGTGTTCGACCAGACAACGTCTGACGGTGCTGGGCAGTTTCTTGCCAAGAGTTGCAATGGTGAAGGGTCGAGTACGGCCTGAATCGCCATTTGAGCACTCGCAACGCTGTCCATTGTCACAAACGCCAGAGGCATTGGTTCAAAATCCTTCTTGCGCAAAGCTTTGATTTCCTCGTCGATTCTTCGCAGCTTCTCTTCATAGTAGTCGATGGCATCCACTTTCTTGTATCTCAGCTTGAGAGGGCCGTACCATGTTTTGATCTTCGGGCGCTTCTTGGCGTAGGGGGCGATGTGGCTAGAGTCACGCTCTGTATCGCTCAGGAAATGGCTTCTCTCATTGTTGTTGTTGTTGTTGTCGTTGTCGCTGCCATCGGCAAAGGGCTCTGGAGGTCGTGGTTGGACTACCGGAAGAGTCTCGAGGCTGCGCTCTACCCTTCGGCTACCGAGATGAACAGTCCAGGCTTCCTCGAGTTTTCGGACGATGGCGCGCCTCTCAATAACCTTGTTATCCAGCTCCTTCCAGTTCTTGCATAGCGTTACACTCTCCACCGTTCCAATACCAAGATCCATGATGAACGCCTTGATCTTGTCCTCCGAGAGAAGATCGACCGGAATACCGGATAGCCGGATGGTTCGGTCGGTGATGGTGGTTTGGCCGCCAAGGTACTCTTGTCGAATCTCAATAATCCTTCTAGTTTCCGAGACAATCAAGTATAGGATAAGGGCGGTGAAGAGGTAGACGAAGACGAGATACATCCACAGATAGTCGGTGTAGCGTTCATACTCGGCGGCAAACGTAGTAAAGGTACTGCGAACCTCAATGTGCTCGGGGCCTGGGTCTAGGCGGATTGGAGATTTCTTTCCCTCCTTGTCCTGGTGGGTATCGTGTACTGGCTTGATGACGACGAGGGCGAAGAAGAGGGTGATGAGCAGAAACTTGATTGCCATTTTGAAGAAGGCAAGGTATACGTAGGCATCGAGGCCAGCCGAGGCCAGCACCTGTTCGTCGGTGATGTTCCATAGTGGTATCATCCAGCCGAAAAAGCTATCGGGGAGGTCGGGGAGCGCCGTTGCGAGGTTCTTCTGCTTCTTGCGCGCAGCGTAGAGGCCCTTCCATCGCGGGCGAAGAAACTGGTGTCGCCAGTCAGCAGGCATGCAGCCGTTTGGAGGGAGCCAAAACATACGCAAAAGACAAGGAATGCGCCCACGCCTAGGCCCAGGGAGAGGTAGAGTTGGAGACGGACATCGCGTGGGCGCAAAGTGCCCCAGAGATCTCCAGTCTCGTCCGGGCAAGTTTTGTTATGTTTACTTATAGGTAGCATTGCCAAGATGAAGGTTGAATCGCCATAAACAGCGATGGCGTCGCTGGTTGTGGGTTACACGTGAAGGAAGGAGCCCGCCAGGGTTGGGCGATGTCATTATGCGCTAGCGGCCTAAGCGGGCGCAAGCCTTAAAGCCATGCCGCCTCACTATCTTGGAGTACTTTGTTAAGCCTTGACCCGACGTCTCCTAGCATTCTGTGGAGTCGTGGGCTGCTTGTTGCAGTCGATGCGACATGGCTGTTGTCATCAAGTGATAACCTACAGAGGAATCACGCGGGTAATTACTTTTTCGGCCAGCATGTCAGCCCGAAGAGAGAGGCGCAGAAGGCCCCATTGAATGAGGACTTGGAGCTCGAAGCTGATTGGCTAGGATGCGTACACCTTTTTCGTAAACCACGTGACTTAATACCAGCATCAGGCTGCACGACAGCTACTATACCACCGCACATGTCCAAACAGTAATACAAGCAGATGATTGAGGGGTATTGTAAATGCTGCACTATCACTCAAATGGAAGGTATGATGTATTGCCATGTTGCACTAACGCGGAGCTTCACTGTAGGCAACATGTCCTGACGTACAAGGCTAACGCTGTTGTGGATGCATTCTCCGCTTGTATCCTTTCCGTCTGACAGATCTGGTTCATAACGGTGAGATTTAGTTTGCCACGTCTATTGACCGAACCGCAAGCCGTGCACCTGCCGATTGTTGTGCGGTCTTACTACCTAAAGTACACTACCCTGTAGTGTACATGTGCGTATAAGATTACTATCGGCGGCCCTGTCGATCGAGTGCACGTGACCGAACGCAACCAGTTGGCGTTTCACCGACGATGGTCGCTATGTAACCATGAGTATTCAATGACGCCCAATATTTCTGCCAAGGTTTTCTTTCCCAGAGGATCCGAGTTCGTCAGCTGAGTAATAGCACGACTATGAAGACGATGATTTTGGCGAGGGATATTTCACAAACGTGCCAGATGTGCCTCCAAACAGCCAACCGCATGTAGCAAGCATACACAGTAAGCGCAGCGGCATCGCTGTTGTACAGCAGGATCGGGTCCGGGAACAGCATATCCGATGGAGTCCGTACAGACCCGGGATGGCCTGCCCTGTTGACGTGACGGCCCGAGAAACATGTTTGTGCTAGGAAGGTGTGTGTGTGTGTATGGGTGGAGTGATGGAGACACCGCAAAGGGGAGTCATGTGTCGAATACTGGGACACGCATGATTGGGGACATATCTAGCGGTCCGTAGCTGATGTCGATGAGGGGATGGACGGGATGCTTGTACATGGCGCCTTGTCGACGACGGTGCAGTCTCTGTCAAACATGCATAGCCAGTGTTCCGGAGCAAGAGTAGTCAGAGTCGTCCGCAAGAAGTTTCAGCCCCTTTGTCGGCGTGGTGGAGAGTAGTAGGGCGAATGCATGTGTCGCACTAACGTGCCACCAACAAGCCTTTCGGCCCAGCTTGGCACCGAAGCTTGGCTGAGATCGAAGCCGGGGTAGGAGGGATCGCGATGGCAGCCGGAAACAGGGCCGAAGGGTAAGTATCACCACAAGCGCCCGGCTCGGACCAACAGTGGACCGGGTGGGGGGCTGTGGTGGAGGTGGGCACCGCCGTGATGGCAGTGAAGGCAGTGAAGGCAGTGTCTGCATTGCTGGCCATGCATGGCAGCAGGCGTTGGAGGGCAGCCGACGTCGTGGAGAGGGCTTCAGCTCGTGGGGCCGGGCGGAGGCGCGAGGAGGGCGAGGCAGAGTTTGCAGACGCCCCTCCCGTCGAGCGTGACAGGCGAGCGCGATGGACGGGGAAGCTGGGCCGGCGTATTTGCAAATGCACCGGTGCAGGCAGGCAGGCGGAGGAGGGAGGGCGGCCTAGCTCAGTCTCGTCTCGGGTAGAGGGCAGCGGTGTCTGCCATCACATATGTAACAGCTGGCAGCCCGCCCCCAAAGCCGTCGAGAGCCCAAAGCCGTCCGCGTCCGCGCCCGCGCCCGCCTCGCCCTCGCCCTCCACACACGACGCTGCGCATGCTCCTTGGCACGCCCGCTCGACGACCACTGTACTGCGCCAAGAGCGGTGCGGCTCTGAACAAGCCTTGTGCAGCGATCCAGGCGGTACGTAAGAGCGACGATCCGTCCAGTCCTTCTGTCGGCTGCCCCGCCCTGAGCTGGTGTGTGCATGTCCAGTGTGGGATATTTGCACTGCATACACATACATACACGGGCAGGACGCATGCCATGTGCCCGCACCGTGCTCGCCGGGCTGGACTGCCCACGGCGGCGCTAGAGAGCACTGCCACCATCCCTCTCCCTCCCCGCGTGGGTCCCGCGGTGCCTCTGCAGCATACCGCTCTTCCTGCGCTTCACTGCTGCTGTCCGCAATGCTGACCGCGTCCAAGCGCCATCCAGTCTGCCATCACAGTCGAGTACCTCCCGCCCGCAACAGGCCACGCCACAGCCCCCCGTCCACCTGAGACGATTGCGCGTCGCCGTCGAGGGCGCCACGCCCCAAGCCACTGCTGCTCCGGCTCCTGCTCGCGCACCCATACCCCATATGTCCTCGACCTGAGCGCGTCCCCTGTCGCCGCTGCAGTCCCTTTTGCTCTGCTGCCACCCTCGACCCCTCCATCCCGTTCTCGCCCCCGACTCCTGGCCCCTCGCCCGCTGCCCCCCCTGGCCGGCTGCTACCGCCCACTAGACCGCAGACACACAGACTGAGCGGGCGGCCGCACAATGCGCGCACCACCACACGGAGTATGACTTCCAGCCAGACACGCTCCTCCGCCACGCCGTCCTCGCCAGTCTCCGCCAGGTCCTTTCTGTCGCGCTTCAAGTCGCCCTTGTCCTCCAAGTCGCGCAACTACACCGAGTTCTACATCCAGTCCGACGACCCCCACCGCCACTACACGCCCGGCGATGTCATCAGCGGGACCGTCATCATCAAGATTGTCAAGCCGCTAAGGATCACCCACCTGGTCGTCTCCCTGCACGGCTATGCCCAGGTCTTCAAGAACCCAAACACCCCCGGCGACGCCTACAAAAACTACTGCTCCAGCGTCGGAAACGGCAGGGCAAACAAGGCAGGCAGCTACTTTGGCAATGGCTTCGTCTCCCTGTTTGAAGACGAGGTGGTCTTGTGCGGAGAAGGCAGGCTAGCCGAGGGCATATACCACTTCAACTTTGAGCTTGAATTCCCGTCCAAGGGCCTGCCTAGCAGCATCGACGTAAGCCGTCCTGACGTGCAGCAACTGATGCGCTTGCTAACTGTACAACGCAGTTTGAGCGCGGAACTATATCCTACATGCTTAATGCTACCCTGACCCGCCCCACCACAATCTCCCCAACCGCTTCATGTGACACCAAGGTTTACCTCACCGACACAATCGACATTGCCCCGGTTCCGCAGCTCAAGCCCCGAGTCATCTCACTTGAGCCCATATCCAGAAGATCACGCAACAAGGCCTCGCGAAAACGGCCAGCCGAAGGAGGAGTACCACAAACACCCGACGGTACAAATGCTCTGCCAGTTGGACCCGCCCTGGACCGACCTACCACCACCCATGAGACGGAAGGTGCACGGAGTCCTTCGCCAAGCGACGTAAGCTATGGGAGCCAAAGAAGCAGTGGAAACGCTTCTGGAACAGAGTATGGCGTTCGCTCAATCAACACCGTCACTGACGGATCGCCTTCGCAAGCTGGCAGCCGGACGAACCCCAAAGGCAAGACCATTACCGCAACGATTGACGTACTCAAGGGAGGCTTCCTGAGGGGTGATCAAATACCAATCAAAGTCACAGTAAATCACACAAAACACATACGCAGTTTGAAAGGCATCATAATTACCTTGTATCGCCTTGCACGAGTCGACATGCATCCTGCACTTCCGGTTGTTGCTAATGGCAAAGGAGACAAGACAAAATCGGAGGATTACTATCCAAAATCCAGAACTGGCCTCGGCGGCTTGTCCCTCTCGTCTGCCGGCTCAAGTCATACTTTCCGGAAAGACTTGTGTCAATCTTTTGCACCTCTTTTTGTTGATCCCAGGACTCTGACAGCCGAGATAAAATGCTCTGTGCGCGTACCCGACGAGGCTTTCCCGACGATAGCAAATGTTCCAGGCGCGATGATCTCATTCAAATACTACGTCGAAGTGGTTGTGGACATCCAGGGTAAGCTGACTGGTCTTGACCGAATGGTCGCAAACGCTGGCCTAGTCAATGTACCATCGGCCGCTGGTGGTTCCGCTACGGCAGGTGACGATGCCTCGGGCAGCATGTTCTCAACTTGGGGCGCTGTCTTTGTGGATACGGACCAAATACGGCGTGAGAAGGGTATTGTGTCCGCTTTGTTCGAGGTCATTATTGGTACAAAAGACAGCGATCGCAATGGGAAAAGGAAACAGACACAGAACTACTCGGGTCACAACGATGCCTACAACGGCTATCATGAAGGTTACGTTGATCCAAACGATGAGCAGGCGTACGACGACCCATACTATTACGGCCACGACGAACACGGCCAATATTATGACTACGGCTATGACCAGGCCTACGACAGCGTTCCTGGATACGAACAACACGGCGCAGGCGCAAGTACTTCTTTCTCAGTGCCAAGAAGCGTGCCCGAGGAAGAGCACGGGCTATCGGAGAAGGAGCGCTTACGGCGAGCAGAGGAGCGCCTGTTACCTTCCCAACCACCAGATGCCGCCGGTCCATCCTGGCCTCTAGTTGGTGAGCAACAAGGCATACCAGCTTCGGCGCCCATGTTACCCGAGGAAGACGATCCTCATCCTTCCTATGGACCGAGTTCATCTTCGTCAACTCCAGCTCACCCTCCCCCGCCATTTCGAGCTACATCATCACCGGCAATGTCCTCGCACTTGCCAACAGCGTCTTTATTGCAACGCCGGGCCACAAACCTCGGCGATGATGAAACAAGAACTTCCGCGACCGGGTCTTCGCATACTCTACGCTTAGAGCATCAGGCATCCTCTGCCAATGGCAATGCAGACGACCCGTCCAAACCTCTTCCTCCTCTACCACCACAACCACCTATGGAAGGACATGGCTCTGCACCACAGTACATGCCCTCTTCGTCCTCACACCTGGAGCCCACAGACGATAAGCACGAGTTGCAACGACGAAGAATGGAAATGGAGAGAAGTGCACCGCCTATAGACCATGATGATGAAGGCGGCCCGTCGAATGGTGCCTCTGCTCCGCCGCCTGACGCCTTAACGAGCTCGCATTTGGCCCCTTCAGCGCCTATGCTGAACGACGATGACGAGTTCCTTGTAGAAGCAGTCCGTCCAGTCCACAGTAGGCAGGATTTACCCGAGAGTAATAGAAGACAAAGTGAGGCGTTACCAGAATACCGAAGGTGACATGCATGATACGGGCGTTTTCTGGGGTTCATTGAAGACGCCATGTGCGCAAAATCCTTTTGCATGAAAGCGTTGCATAGACTTGTCCTTTTTTTTTTCTTTCCCCCTTCTCTGGCTCTTTTCTCAAACTGGGGATTTTTAAACATGGAGTTTTTTTCATGCCTTCTTTTTCTACTTTCTTTTCCTAAAAACAAAGAGCGGTTCATCATCTACTTTCCTCCCTTTTTTTCTGTTTGTTTGTTGGGGCAAAGGGACAATACTTGAAGTGTTGGGGATGCTTTGGTTTCTATGATACCTTTTTGAACGATCTTAGGCAATACATTTAATTCCATATGTATATGGGTATGTATGTATATCGAGTGCAAGTGGCCACCCTTAATGAAGTTCTTTTGCGGATTAACGACCTCGCGCTTTATCGTTGCGACTTTCTTTGGTTTCGATACGGTATTAGTTCATTTCATGTCTTGGAGTCGTTGGGTAACGACCGTCTCAAGATCGTGCGAGTGGGCATCATACGTATGTCTTTTGCAGACTGACCAGTAGCTCCGCCATTGCAGCTTCGATGTTGGCTTTCTGTGCTAGCAGATCCTGGAGGCGCTTGAGTTGCGCTTCGTGGGCTGCCGATCTGCAATTCCCATTAGATTGAGTGTTAGTGAAGCGGTGTGAGGTAGCCAAGACGCACGCTTCCTTTTCAAAGTTGCCAAAGGCCATGTGGATGTCGTCTAGGACTACTGCGCGTTGCTCAATGTAGTCTTCAGTGATGTCTTGCTTGCGGGCTGCAAGGTGCTTGCGTTACTGGAAGAGATATAAGTTAGCACTATGCTGATATGTCATTAATCATATATGTTTTTTTTTTCGTTTCTAGCCGATGGAGTTCTCAGCGAGACATACACCAGCAACCATGTTGAACATTAGTTGCTCTAGCGCGTCGTCCAAAGTACTTTGAGATGCTTCTAGCTCGGCTTCTTTTGAATTTTGGTTGGATGTTGAAATATCTGTATCACCGAGCTCATTGAAGTCTTTCATTGGCTTCGCGGTTTCTTGAAGGGAGGCATCTTGCGTGAGAGTAGTGCGGTTTGATAGCCTTTTCACACTTGGCAAAACCATGACTGTCTATTCCAGTGAGTGCTAACAGTTAGTGTGATGATCAGCAGTTGAAGACAACCGGGTAGATATTGTCAGGCAATCACGCTTGTGAGTGCCTGTGTAGCCTAAATAAACTGAAGTTGAGCGGTTCAAGTGTGGGTGGATACAAAGGCCGGTGGTTGGCTTTCCCCACATGGTGCCGAGACTCGGCGCTACTAGCGTGCATCCACAAATTTTTGGCCTTCAGTTTGCGGACTCCCGCATTGTTCACCAGCAAAGTCACCTTGTGTTTTCTTCGCACCAGAACCGCTAGAATTCAAGATGGGTCTCGCTGCGCCAAAGAAGTATGCACGCGATTTCGAGTTTTGCCACCTTTGCCCCCCAAAACTGACGCTCCAGCAGCCGAACCAAAATCTCCAATGATCCGCAAAACACGACATGGGCGAACAACACCTCGCGCTTCGGCCATCGCATGTTGACTTCGCAGGGATGGCAACCTGGTAGCTCTCTGGGCGCAAAAGATGCATCACACGCCGCTCATTACACCGCCGCCTCCCAATCGCACATCCGTGTCTTTCTCAAAGACGACAACCTAGGCCTGGGCGCAAAGCGAGGCAGTGAGCGACCGGAAAACTTTGGACTTGCAGGGTTAGAAAGCATTCTGGGGCGATTGAATGGCAACGAGGCTGAAGTCAAGAAGGAAGAGGAGAGGCGCGAGGAGATTGAGAAGAGGGCATTTGTGTACCGCAAGTACGGCATGATGAACTTTGTCAGTGGCGGCTTCCTGGTCGGCGATAAGATTACAAAGAAGTCGGATATCAAGAAGGAAATTGAGGTTAAGACGGAGACGGAAATCAAATCTGAGCCACAGAGCGACAATGAAATGGCTAGCAGCAAGGACAAGAAGAGAAAGCGAGAGGAGCACACCGAGGAGGAGCCAAAGTTGAAGCGCAAGAAGAAGAGCACTGATCTGCGCGATGACGGGAAGACAGAAAGCGACTCGTCAAAGTCGAAGAAGCAAAAGAAGGAAAAGTCGAAAAAGTCGAAGCAGACATCTTCGTCTGATGTGGAGGCCTCAGCCGATGCTGAACCGCTCACAGACAAGGCACGACGGAAAGCAGAGAAGAAGGCACGCAAGGAGGAGAAGAAGGCCAAAAAGGCGCTCAAGAAGGCTGCGAAGAAGGCAGCCAAGAAGGACAGTTCCGACGACTCGAGCTCTGAGAGCGAGACCGAAGAGAGCACGCCAAGTTCTTCCGTGCCTGTGTCGGGCGCGTCCACGCCCGCGCCTGCGGGATTAACATACAACCCGCGAGGCATGCATGCTGTACGACAGAGGTGGATCCGCCAGAAAAAAGCAGCAACTATGGATGCGCAGGCAATGAAAGAGGTATGTTTGGCGTAGGATGCCTCTTGATAGACCAACCCCGACTAACACAAGGTGCAGATTTTCATGATCAAATCACAGTCATAAATCAGCGCTTGGCTGGGCGCATGACCGTTATCAGCATAGCGAGGCGTTGGTGGGGTTTTGTTGTAGCATTGGATTGTTGGGCCTGAACATGGAAGCCGAATAGAAGACAACACATCGTACATGTCATTTCTACCAAGTTGAACTCAAATAAATTGCTTTGGCCGGGGATTGGATAAGACAAGGTTTTTATATCGTGGCCATGCATCACGAATATTACGTGTGGTCTGAGACACCCGCCATCCCATTGGGATTACCGTGCAGCGGTAGCAGTCAGTCAGCCAGCCAGGCTAAGGGCTTTTGTGGTTTTGCCGGTTGCGATTGCGGTTGGGTTGATTTAAGTTCAAGCTAGGCCTAGAGTGGTCGAAGGCCGCCGGTGAATTCAACCAAAACGGAGGAGGGGTGTCCATGTACATATGCAGTTTCCATTACGACTAGAGGCTGGTAGCGTTCTTAGTGGTCTTCTTTGACAACTTACTTTTCTCCTCGTTTCACGGCGCAAGTAGGTATAGTTTACTGCATCTTGGCAACGAGAGGCCCGTAATCCTACTCGAGCTTAAAGGCTTGTCATTTCCTCTGCGGCAGAAAGCTAAGCAGAACCGCAACAAGCGCAGCCAGACAGGCGCTAAGCGAAGAAAGCATACAGTTGCAGTGAAGGGATGATAAACGTCGAACCTACGATAGGGCGATTCCAGAAACCAGGGATGAGCTGCAAGCCGCGTCAGTTCCTGCATGGCGGACCCCGTGCTAACGCGCTAGGCCGTAGTGGGATGACGGCGATGTACAATGACCTCGTCCACCCTTGGAAAATATAGCGCGCTGCTCGACCCGGTGAACTACCACAGGACATACATATGCATGTACATGGCCCAGTTCAATCCTCGCAACGGCCAGCCCTAGTTGCTTTCTTTTCTTCGGCACATTCTTGTCGTACCTTCTGTCTCTCCTTCTCTCTCTCTTGACTGCGTCGGCGGATAAACGCATACGTCGTCGGCCCTTGGGCGTTTCCGGTAAGGTCCGCGGCAGCCAAATCCCCGAGTAGGTAGTATGGCATGTTTAACCTTTGGCGCAGTCAGCCTTCACCCTCACAACACGGCGTTCCCAGCATATGCCCGGTGCCTCATCCACAGAATATATAACCGACGCCCCGCCCATAGATTCGGTCCCCGACGCCCCCTCCGTACTCGACGCCTCGCCCCTCGACTCTATGCCCGCGCAATTGGCCCCTAACATGCCCTCTCTCGCGTCGAGGAATGGCGCCCCTGTGCCCACGAGGAAGGAGTCGGCGCCCATGATGCCTCCCTTCATGGTGTCTGCGCCAGGCAAAGTCATTGTATACGGAGAACATGCCGTTGTCTATGGAAAGGTACAACTCGGCAGTTCCAAACACGTTCAGCAGCCCATGTACTAATGTCTCTCAGGCCGCCATTGCGGCTGCTATATCTCTCCGCTCATATCTCCATGTCTCGTTCCTTTCAAAGTCGAACCGTACCGTGCAGCTGCGCTTTCCCGATATTCAGATGGAGCACACGTGGAACATTGACGAACTGCCATGGGACGCGTTTAGCAAGCCGGGCAAGAAGAAGCACTACTACGAACTCGTAGAATCATTAGATCCCGATCTGATGGCCGCCATACAACCTTTCATAGACCAAGTGTCTCCCACTGCTCCTGAGTCGATACGAAAAATTCACCACGCCTCGGCGACCTCCTTCCTATACCTTTTCCTCTCGCTTGCGTCGCGCAAAGTTCCTCCTTGTGTTTATACATTACGTTCTACCATTCCAATTGGCGCCGGCCTGGGTAGCAGCGCCAGCATATCAGTGTGTCTCAGTACTGCATTGCTTCTACAGATTCGTGCTCTGAGCGGGCCCCATCAAGACCAACCTGCACAAGAATGTGAGCTTAACATAGAGCGCATCAACCGATGGGCATTTGTTGGTGAAATGTGCATACACGGGAACCCTTCTGGAGTCGATAATACAGTGTCCTCGGGCGGTAAGGCAGTCCTCTTCCAACGGAGAGATTACGGCCAGCCGCCGCTCGTCCAACCACTGCACAGTTTCCCAGAGCTACCTCTTTTGCTTGTCAACACGCGACAGTCGCGCAGCACAGCTACCGAGGTCGCCAAAGTCGCCAACCTCCGCAAAGCACATCCCGTCCTCGCAGAGAGCATTCTCGACGCGATAGGCTCCGTCACCGAATCTGCACACAAACTCCTCACATCCCCAAATTTTGATTCAGAATCAATTGAAGCGCTGAGGCATCTCGGTGAACTGGTAACCATCAACCATGGCTTGCTCGTTTCACTAGGTGTTTCCCACCCAAAGCTCGAACGTATCCGAGAAATCATCGATCACACAGGTATTGGCTGGACAAAGCTCACGGGAGCAGGAGGTGGAGGTTGTGCCATTACCATTCTCAAGCCGCAACCGCCCGCCCTCATAAACGACCACCAACCGGACACAAACTCTGACAAATCCGATACCGCATCTGAACCAGATGTTGATTGCAATGCCTCTGTCATTTCAACCAGCACCAAGATGAAGTACAAGATCCTTGATTCGCTCGAGGTCAAGCTGGAGAATGAAGGATTCGAGAAGTTTGAGACGACACTGGCTGGTGATGGTGTTGGTATCCTCTGGCCAGCTGTTTTACATAATGGAAACGAAGAGGAGGGTGGAGAGGAAATTGACCAGGAAAAGTTCCTCAATGCTGAGGGTAACGTTGGAATCGAGAGACTTGTTGGTGTCAACAGCTCACAAAGGAAGGGCTATGAAGTTAGAGAAGGATGGAAGTTTTGGAGGCCGTGGGATGCTGGTGAGAGTTAGAACTTGCTCTAGGCGCTGGTTTTAATTTACTCTTCATACTTGTAACATGGATGCGCATCTTAGTTTTCTATTTTCTTCTTCTTCTTCTTCTTCTTCTTCTTCTTCTTTACATAGGGTACATAGGGTTGTGTTACTTTGAGGAACCATGAAAAAGATTGGTATATGCAGTGTCTGTCAAACGAGCCCTGGGGAACTTTGCTTTTTTTGTAGCAAGGCAGTGTGTCTCATGCATCATTGTCTATAGCCGTTCCAATCACGCCACGCATATTCAGCCACGCTCTGGGTCACCGAAACACACGTACTCGAGTAAAGTGTCTAGTATGTATGTGGCTTGTGCCGCTTTGATTGGGCGGTAAGCCATGTGGCTCAGGTAATTTTTAGAAGCGAGCCACGCGCAGTGGCCGAGCCCAACCACTGTCTTTGCGACGCAGTCAAACCTTGAGAGAGACTTCCCTCACCCACAACACTTTACCAGTATATCACTGCACAGCTGCAGGTAGAAACTATCGAATACGCTACTCATACAGCGCAAATTCCTCGTGATCTTATATACCAACCACAGTCATGGCGCCTGGAAAGTGGGGTACGTCATATTCGCTGCCTCTGCGCCTGCGCTTCAATATGGACCTTTGCAGGACCCTTCGCTCACAACGTTCCAGATGATGAAGAAGGGAGCTCGGGCCCTCCATCTCCAACCGTAGCACCCATCGCCCGCCGCAGCAAGTTTGAGGACGAAGAAGATGAAGATGTGTGTCATCCCTCCCTGCCCCGCGCTCGCATAATTTCCAACCCCGCTATACACATCGTACACATGCTGACTGCGTACCCAACAGGTGCTGGAATCATGGGACGCCGCGGAAGACTCCGAAGTCGAGCGTGAAAAGGCGAAGAAGGCCGCCGAGGCAAAGGCAAAGGCAGAGGCAGAGGCAAAGGCAAACCACAAGTCCAAGGCGCAACGAATCGAGGAGCACAGACAGGCTGCCCTGCGCAGGCGGCAGATGGAGGATGAGGGAGAGAGCGAAGAAGAAGAAACTGAGGCCGAACGCCGTGCAAGACTACGCCAACAAGAAATCGACGGCTCGCGTGCCCAGGCTGAGGAACTTTTTGGTGACCTGACTGTCAGCAACAAGCGCAGCGGCAAAGCTGTCACAATCGCAGACGAGAACGACCCAAACAACACCATCAACCTCTCCTCGCTCTCCATCTTCAACCCAAACACCAAGGACCAGTTCACCAAGCTGCGCGAGACGCTCACTCCCCTGATCGCTGCCAACTCTAAGAAAGGACAGTACACCCTCTTCCTGCAAGAGTTCACTAAGCAGATTGCCAAGGATCTTCCTAGCGAACAGATCAAGAAGATTGCCTCTGGCTTGACTACTCTGAGCAACGAGAAGATGAAGGAGGAGAAGGCTGCCGAGAAGGGAGGAAAAAAGACAAAGGCGGCGAAGACGAAGACGACGCTCAACGCGAGTCGCGATGTTGGTTTGAAGGCGGATACCCGGGCGTATGACGATGATGACTTTGGCGAGTAAGTTCTTCCTGACTGTCTCGTGGCATGTGCGCATACGAATGGGCTAACACAATCCTACAGTGATGACTTTATGTGAGGCATGTTGCCGTTCTTCTACCTACACACCTTTCCGCATACAACATACTTTGCGTCCAATATAGGTGTTTACTACTTTGTCGTGTCGTCCTTACGGTTCACACACGCGACTCTACAGACACGAGCGCAGCGATTTCTCGGTCTCCCAAGCATTTTTCACTTCACCTTGCTCTTTTCTTTTGTCTGGTATACGGTTTGCTTCAAGCGTTTCAGAATGGCCTAGGTTGCACGCATGTAGACATGTTTTGGTTTTACCATATGCACAGATTAACATGATCCTTCTCTACATTCCATTCATGGGCCCCTTTTAAAAAAAAAGAGTGCTCCGCCCAAAAAAACCAGTGTTTGTCTGTTCCATACAAAGGAGCGTTGGATGGACGTACACAAGAAGGGAAAGGAACGAACATGTGCTTCTCCCTGCTTCAAGTAAACGCCATCAGCTTCATCTCTCTGCTTTTCTGTCCGCGCAAATTCAAATAGAAAAAAAGAGAGAAAAAAAAAGTTTGCAGTGCCCATATATTCTATTTTCTACAAGTTCATCTACAGAAAAAGAAAAAGAGGGAATTGAGGCAAAACCGCTCAATCTCCCGTTCTCGAGTTCTCAATCTTGGTCACAATCAAGTCGGTTGCTCCAACCTCGGTCAGTTTATCCATGGCAATGGCAATGTCTTTGCGCAGCACCATGGCCTGAACCGCCACCCATCCATCTTCCTCGAGCGCGTTTACCGTTGGGGCGCGACGACCCGGAGTAATTGTGCGGGCGGCATCGAGTTTTGACCTGGGAACATTGTATGTGCAAAGCACATATTTTTGTGCCGCTGTAACATTATTAGATCTTGTTTTCCCCAACTACCTTTTTTTTGTCTTTGGGTGGAGGAAATCAAAACTTACTAATAACACCCTTTATCCTAGCCGTGATAAGGTCCACAAGCTTAGGGTCTGAGGGGTGTTTCGACTTGATGAGGATGGCGCTCGAGGTAACAACTGTAGAAATGGCTTTTAGACCTGCAGCACGCATCGTCTCGCCCGATTCCACTAGATCGACAATACCGTCGGCGACACCCAATGCGCATGCTGCCTCGACACTGCCGCCCACATACTTGATGACTGTCTTTAGCTTTGCATCTCCGTTGGTCTCGCCGTTCGTGGTACCCGCCTGTTCCGCTTCCAGTTTCCTAAAGTACTGCTCTGCGAGGTTGGTGAAGCTCGTAACGACGTTCTTTCCAATGAGGTCCTCAGGCTTGGTCAGGTCGCCTTTGGCGGGGACCTGGACTTGGAGACTGCATTTTCCGAAACCAAGGTCTAGCACTTCATCGACACCGGTTGTGGCGGTGGGTGGAGTGACACATTCGTGCTCTGCAACTTGGTCGCGGCCGGTTATGCCTAGGTCTACACGACCTTCACCGACGAAGGTGGGGATATCGGCGGCGGGGAGGAAGACGAGCGCAAGCGGGAGGTTCTTGACGAGCGCAATATCGAGGCGCGAGTGGCGGTGGAATTGGATGTCTGAGCCGTGGAGGAGATCGAGACAGGCTTGGTGGAGGCGGCCCTCTACGAAGAGACATCAGTATATGCGCGATTGAGTGGAGTCTGGTACAACACAACAAAACATACTCTTTGGCACCGCGAAGAGAAGGCGGTCATTCAAACTGTTACCCAAAAGGTCAGTCATAAAAGGAAGACTTCGACTACCCTGTCGCGGCCTCTGCGCGACTTCATCCAGTGTACCATTGATGCCGCCTAAGAAGCCCATATTTGCGGCAAGCTAAACCAAGAGTAATTCTAAGATAGCAGCAATAGGGAAAGTAAGGGGAAAGAAGGGGGGAAAGAAAGTAGTAGGACCGACATACGAGTTAACAAGATCCATTCTTCTCCACTCTGAGTGTGCACAAGCACGCAATTGACCAGCAGGGATTCGTCGTAAGAGCAGTATGCAAATCCACGCGCAGTGTAATGCGTGATGCAAGCTATCGTGTTTAGGAACAAAAAAAAATGGGGGATGCAGAAAGATGTGCTCTTGCTGGTAACAGTCTAGAGCACGTCCAGGACCCCCGCGTTGACGGCGAAGTGTGATTGGCGAATCGTTCGTGGAATATAGGGTGGGTTTAGGGTGTAAGATGCACAAGTCTTGCGTGGTTTTGTTCTGTCTTCGTGTTTCGTGTAGAGCAAGTGTCGGTTGACGCGCGAAAACATGCGCCGTCCGCGGCTCGTTCGTGGGGGAAACTAGGCAATTTGCAAAGTGACTCAATGAGGGGTACAATAGACTACACGTGTGGCCCGCTGGCTAGTCTCCTCCCACCAAATGAGGTTGTGAATGTATGTATGTATAATACATATTTGTTAAATTTCTGATAAGTCCAGACGTGTCAATGACTGCAGTCCCCGCTGTTGTGCCGATATGCGGCCTCGAAATGTTTTTTTTCTGTCGCAAGATGACGTCCAACCATTGCCCCGCGTTGTGCTGCGGCTGGATGAGTGCGACAAAGGCGGTATCGGCTGGCACAATTTTACTTTGTGTATTGCCGACGTATCCTTTTCGCATGCACCACGGATATGCCGTGAGTATGCACAGTCACATATAGTGCAGCGTGGTATGTGTAGTTAGCTGAGCATGCCATCAATTATTCTTAAGGTGTGAACAAGTTTTCAAATTGGCATTTCCAACAATCCGTGCCTTCTACGTTAGTTGGGTACAATACCACTACAACTGCGAACATTTTCTTTACCAAATTTTTTTGCGACTTATTCGTTTCGTGTGAAATGAACGTACCATACTTAGAACACGCGCGACGGTTCACGAATCTGAGGATTGGAAAGTCTGCAACACGTCCTTGGCGTCAACACAGACATGTGGAATTAATATGGGGGAGCTGAATTTCTCAGTGCACTCAAAATTGTGGTACTCAGCGACATGAGGTGGTGCAAAAATACTCAATGATGAATTACTGGCGCTCTTTGAATGAGTGGTTTAGGAATCAACAAGATTGGAATGTACCAATGGCATCTTAATTTGATTTCAAACTACGGGAAGAAGCAAACACATTCAAACACGGCTACTGAGTAGTTAATCCTGCAAAACAAGAATGGAAGGTCTCGCCCAGCACTGCCTTCACCGGAGTCGTGCGCGCCTAGACAGGGGTCAAATGCACAACCACCGCTAGACGACGCGCTGGTGGAGACTCTTCCGACGTGGCTAGGACCCACTATTGACAATTCACAAACACGTTTTTATTGAACCTCGGAGTTAAAACCAAACGCCTTCTAGAGGTATCAGCCATTGACTCTGTATTAACAAAATAATTTTGCTCTCTGTCATCAAGCATTCTTGGTCCAACGGTAGGATAATTGCCTTCCAAGCAATTGGCCCGGGTTCGGTACGGTTTCCCAACTACACAGTGTTCGATTCGGACTTCCCACTAACAGATAAATAGACTCCCGGAGGATGCATAACATCCTTCTCTCGATTGCAACGTTATGACTTTTTTTATTTTGCTGGGGGCAGGCCAAGTGAAAATCCGACTGACTAGCCGGTTCTTTTTTTTTTTGCATCGCTGCATGCCACGCCTTCAACTATCATTCAATCTAGCTCAAACCCCCCTTCCCCGAAAAAGAATCATTGTGATCAATCGATGAATGACCTCATCATAGACGTTTTTATTGACGACTGAGCGGTTATAATTTTACAAAAATCTGGGATAGATGCATAGTTACGAACGCGAAAAAGAACAATTGGATGAGTTGATAACAACTACATGTCGGAATAAAACTACACTCGTGTTTGCGTACCTCACCAAGCGTACACTGAGCAGCAGGCTTGAAGACAGGGACTTGAGAAGGCTGGAATTGTAGATCTGCTTGACTAGATCTTGTTCATTATTAAAAGTGTATTTATGTAATTTCCACATTTGTGCATCGACTTTTTCAAGAATTTCCGCTCCCTTGGCTCAAATACGACATGCTCATACGCTGCGAGCCATCCCGAAACGCCATTCCGTCCATGCTGATGGCACGAGAGCGAAACTTGAGCCATGAACCTGCTCGTCTATCATGGCCTTGAAATCCCAATAGTAGAACCCACTTCGTTAGCGTTCATTTTCTGAAACTGCACGGACAGTCGATGCTTCGGAAATTTCCCAAACTGTAGACTCGGAGTCTGTCGATGTAACATGCGAATCGATCGATATGACCGACGGCTGCCTAGCATGCGTACTCCGTCGCTCCTCATCATATACATCTCCATTACTCATGTTCTCATCCATATCCTCATTGCTCTCATCGTGTACATTTGCGGCTTCGGCTTCCAGAGCAGTCATACGGTTCACAAACTCTTTCTGTATTTCACTGAGCCATGCAGAGAGAACCTCTCCCTCCAGTACGCCGTTGTACGCCTGAACCAGGTGCTCTTTGAGATTGAGAATAAGTTTCCGACGCTTTTCTTTGAGTACTGTTTCCGACACTTTCTTGTTTCGAATAGTATGACGCTCAATTTTACGCGCGACATTTGTAGCATGCTCCACAATACCTGGAGGCAGTGGGACGACACGAGCAAGCGCCAGACCATAGTGAACTTCTTTAGCGACGCCCTGAGTTGCTTTGTAGAGCATCGTCATGCTGTGCTCATCTTGAATCTGTGATGGTGAGATAGTGCTTCGATCAGGACGCAAACACTCACATCAACTGCTAGATGTAGATTTAAAACTCCAGCACGTTCACCCATGATATTAGCGAGGTCCTTGAAATGAGTCGCAAACCACACAAGAGCCTAAAAATGTTAGTATTGACAAGCGGCCGTGTTTGATAGCTCACTCTGCTAGATAGAAGAGCTTCTGCAATAGCCAAAGCAATGGCTAGACCATCTCTTGTGCTCGTGCCACGACCCAGCTCATCAACTATGATTCTAAAATGGGATCAGCAACGCTGTAGTGGGAGCATGGCTCGTTTCATACAAACTGCGTTGGTCGACGTTGCGCAAGATGAAAGCAATCTCTCTCATCTCAGCCGCAAATGTTGAAACGTTGCTTTCAATGATGTCGTCGGTTCCGATCCTAGCAAATAGCTGGTGAAGTATTGGAAAGGATGCATAGTTCGCAGGAACACTGTATACAGTAAATGGTTGCAATAGACGAATTGAAAGATGGATCACTTACTAGCAACCAATCTGAGCCATGATGGTCATGAGTGCCAGGGATCGAATGTAGGTACTTTTGCCACTCATGTTGCATCCGGTGATGATGTGAAATCGAGTCTGCTGTGTAGCATAGGCATCATTTGGAACAAATTTGGTTTGCATAATCTTTTCTTTGATAGGATGGCGCCCAGCCTCAATGGCGAGTGTGTCAGTGAGCTGTGGTTGTGCTGAAAATTTATCAGTTTATACATCAAAGTAAGCGTGACACCTACTATAGTTATTCACTGTGACAAGGTGCGCAAATGCTCCAATCTATGATTAATGAGCTTCTTGATCGTGGTAAAACAGCGACTGAGACTTGCCATATCCAGCATTGCTACAGCTTCACAAACCTTGAACAATATTGACATGTGGCTGCGTACTTGTTCGGTGAGATCTTCGACGGCTTCGTCACCTGCACAGTTTTAGTGGGGACATAGACGCATAGGCAGATGACTATAGTCACTCATGAGAATCACTTCCTGGTGTGACACGTTGATCTTCCAATCGTTAGCATGCGCGAGTTTGGTATCCGTATCTGCGTGCCTTCTGGTTGCGCTTCATCAACTCCACAGTTTGACACTCAATGTGGTTGTGGCGACGAATTATATTCGTGAAAACCGGCGGTAACGCCTTGCCTTCAAGCTCTGATAAAGCAACCTTAATGTAAAACTGACGGGCAGTTTCGTACTTCAAGTCTAATTTGATACCGTATTCTTCTGCTTGAGATTAGCAAACAAGCCTACATATTCGAAGATGCATTGGCATACCACTGAGCTCGGTCGAGTGTTGAAATGCATCTTCAGTGGCTTCCTTATAGGTAGTACGTGCAACGTCAAGGAGTCCATTAACGCCAGATTTCACAGCATATGTTCGTTGATTTCTGAGTTCGAGGGGTTGCCTCGCGTAAGTAGTGTCTTCGTTGATGACAAGATCAATCAGATCTTGTACAACGGCCACATTCTCTGGCGCGCAGAGCTCGCGGATGTTGTTGAGCATAGCAGAGGCTGTCCCAGTGAGTGCTTCATAAATAGGGTTCACAGAGTTAACAAATTGCTTGAGCATAATGATTTGGTTGATGGCTTGCTCTGTTGTATGAAGAGTAAGCTTCTTTGGCTTAACGATCAACGCTGTCAGTATCCGGTCGGCATCAAGAAAGCTCTTCAATGCTTCGCGGACAGCAAAAAACAACTCCTCCTTCTTGGTCATGTCATTCACAGCAGCGTATCGCGTAATGAGCATCTCGGGGTCAGTGAGTGGCTGCAGGATGTTGCTCCGAAGCAGGCGTGCACCCATTGGCGTCAATGTCTCATTGATCAGACCGAATAAACAGTTTTTGGATTTGGGGTCACGAAGATTCTGAACCAGTTCAAGCGAATGTATAGTTGACACATCAATCATCATAGATCCCTCAGAAGGCTCGTACCGCATCCTGAGTGAATGCAAGGCGAAGACCATATTTAAGCCAAGGTCAATGTACTTGAGCGCCTACAAGCTTGGTTATTCACGTAGTTAAAAGTACACCAAAGAACTTACCGCCGCAATACAGCATACAGCGTAATAATTACCTGCAACGGAAATCTGGATAGCTTCGATATCTTCCTTGAACGCTAGAGTTTGGATATAATCGTATCCAGTTGATTCTGCCCAGTAGCGCCGGTCGAGTAATGTTAGCTTACTGCCAATATCCTCAAGGTTTTCCTCAATGATAGAGAAGAGCTTCGACTTTGGACTTGCAGCAGTCGACACAATCAAGACCTCTGAAGGGCCATATACTCTCAGCTTGTGAACTGTTCGAACAAAGGTCTGGCTGTCGCAGATCTGACAGAGCACTGCCTCTGCTGTGTCAAGGTTCACAAAGGCCAAGCCGACTGTAGGTGAGATTCCACGAGATTCGGCAACGGCACAGATAACATGCTGGTTTTCGACCCTAGCAATAGTGGAAGCACCAGTCCTCGGCCTTGCAGTAGAGGGCCTGCCAGTGTTCCTGTGTGTTCCTGGATGTGACGCTGTAG